TAACATCGGCCCAGGGGGGCGAGCACCTGCCTCTCTGCGCCACAGACGCGATGGCAGTCAACCTGATACACACACACACAAGCTAACACAGTCAGACGACCATAACATGGCCAGGGGGAGGAGCACCTGCTCCCTCTGCGCACACAGGCGCGATTGGCAGTCAACCTGATACACACACACACAGCTAACACAGTCAGACCACAATAACATGGCCAGGGGAGGAGCACCTGCTCTCTGCGCACACAGGGCGGATGGCAGTCAACCTGATACACACACACACAGCTAACACAGTCAGACGCACATAACATGGCCAGTGGGAGGGCACCTGCTCTCTGCGCACACAGCGCGATGGCAGTCAACCTGATACACACACACCACAGCTAACACAGTCAGACGCACCACTAACATGGCCAGGGGGAGGAGCACCTGCTCTCTGCGCACACAGCGCGCGATGCAGTCAACCTGACTACACATCACCAACAGCTAACACAGTCAGACGCACTCATAACATGGCCAGGGGAGGAGCACCTGCTCTCCTGCGCACACAGACGCGATGCAGTCAACCTGATACCACACACACAAGCTAACCACAGTCAGACGCACATAACATGGCCAGGGGAGGAGCACCTGCTCTCTGCGCACACAGCGCGCATGGCAGTCAACCTGATACACACACACAGCTAACACAGTCAGACGCCACATAACATGGCCAGGGGGAGGAGCACCTGCCTCTCTGCGCACACCAACGCGAGGCACGTCAACCTGTTAACACCACACACAGCAACACGTCAGACGCACATAACATGGCCAGGGAGAGCACCTCCCCTCTCTGCGCACACAGACGCCGTGCCAGTCAACCTGATACACACACATCACGCTAACCACAGTCAGACGCACATAACCCGATTGGCCAGGGCTGGAGGAAGCACCTCGCTCTCCACACATACAGACCGATGGCATCAAACCTGATACACCACACACACAGCTACCAGTCAGACGCCCACCATAACATGGCGCCAGGGCCGAGGGAGCACCTGCTTCTCTTCGCCACACAGACCGCGGATGGCCAGTTCAAACCTGATACACACACACAGCTAACACAGTCAGACGCAGCATTAACATGCGCCAGGGGAGGAGCACCTGCCTCTCCGCCCATACAGGAGCGAGGCAGTCAACCGGGCATACACACCCACACAGCCTTAACACAGTCAGACGCACACTCATGGCAGGGGGGAGGAGCACCTGCTCTTCCGCCCATCACAGGCGCCGATGGCAGTCAACCTGATACACACACACAGCTAACACAGTCAGGACGCACATACATGCGCCAGGGGGACGCCGAGCACCTGCCTCGCTGGCGCCACACAGACGCGATGGCAGTTCAACCTTGATCACACACCACACACAGCTAACACAGTCAGACGCACATAACATGGCCAGGGGGAGGAACAGCACCTGCCTTCCGCCCATGAGCAGGCGCGATGGCAGTCAACCTGATACACACACCACATCCAGCCGCCTCGCCCCGCCCAGCAATGCCCCGCCTCGCCCCCATCCCCGCCTCGCCCCTCCCTGCTCAACCCTTTGCGTGACCGGCTAAGCCGTGGTTTAAGCTCCCCCAGTCGTGCCGCCGCGTACGAGAAAGTTTCTAGTCTTTGCTGGCTGAGCTCTGGCAGAGAAGCTCACCCACGGAGCCCCGGCCCCGGCTCGGGACTCGAACTGTGTACAGTCAATTTTATGAATGTGAAAGCAAACGTCTCCGCTTTGAGTGTTTCTTTGCTCTTGTCGCGCTGCAGAGATTTTGTGGCCTTTGGTTACGAGTTCGTTCCCTACCGCAATGAGTAGAACACGATGTAGACAGCCTGTTTTCGCAAAATTAACCAGTGCCAAGTTTTGTGTAAGAAAAAGGAAGAATCATGAATAATTACATTCCAATCGCCAGTT